TGTCCTGGGAGGGGAGGCAGCACCATGGCCCCCTCGCTGCACCCTGCCTGCCCCTGCCCGCAGCAGCAGCACCATCACTCCCCATGGCTCGTGTGCCACTACCCCTCCTGGGACTCCCGCCCTGGGCACGCTACCAAGGAGACGCTGACAGACTTCAGGTGTGTTGGCAGGAATCTCATGGACATGACAGAAATAAAACAGGATAGTAAATACTTGACAGCCATAAATCCAAGTGGAAGAGAAAGTATTCTTAAAAAAATAAAGTCGACAAAACTTAAATTACAACAGCAATGGAAGTGTGGAAGAAAATCTACCCTGCCTTGCCAGGGATGTCCTGATGCATGAACTTCTTCAACTATGCAAGAAAGCCTCAAGGGCATGGCAAGAGGAGGAGAAAGGATAAAACCTGCATTTCCTAAAAACCACACCAGGCACCAGAAGGGAGGAAGATCATCCCACAGTCAACAGAAGCAGAAAGACAGACTGCCTTACCTTGGGATCCATTCCACTTTTACCAGTGCTCAGTGCTTTGGTGCCAGCCTGACTCCTGCGTACCCGCACCTCACTGGGATGCGATACGCAGGCCCCTGGCCTGGCTCTTGCAGGTCAAGTGCAAGTGATTGCCACTCAAGCCATTCCCTGGGGAAGAGGCACACAGCTGCAGGGCGCTTCATTCTGCACCCAGGCGCTCGCTGTGTGGTGGCCATGAGTCGCCAGAAAGGGCTCTCCCAGTGGAAATCCCTCAGCCACTGGTTACGTAGCAATAAAGCAAATCCAAATGGAGCAGCAGGTGCTCAGGTGCAGAAAGCACCTCTCTCTTTTGCACTGTGACGTTATCTTTGCAGCAGAGAGCGGCACGTTGGGTGTCTGCAACAGCAGCAGAGGCCACGCAGCATCCACGTGGTCCTGCAGCACAGCATGGCCCCACCACAACCTGCCCGTCCTGGGGAATGCTCAACTTACTGTGGTTTTCCAAAGGCTGCGCAGGTCAGTTCGAGCGGCTCCCCTTCTCTTGTGAGGCCTTGCACCGGGTAGTTCTGCGAGACCCGCACTTGAGGCTTATCTGCAGGACAGAAAACAGCCCTCCGTGAGCCACCACCGCGTCAAGCCGGGTCGCATCCGCGCGCAGCCGGAGCCGCTCTCCTCTTGGCTGGCAGCAGGAAAAAGGGGGATCTGGCGGCGCTTCCCGCACCGACCAGAGCACCACGCTTCCTGGGAAATGCAGCTTGCTGTGCCAGAGTCCATCTGTGAACTCGCCCAAGCTAAAAGGAACTCATTTGCCTTCCCGCTGAGGTGAACCAGAGGTATCCGCGGTGCTTGGAATTGACAGGTTTTACTGTGTACCCTGTATTACTGTACAACACTTGGCATCCGCACACATTAATATGCTGGGCCTTACGGGAGATGCTTGTTAGAAATACAAAAAGAAGTCACAGCCACTGCTGCTGCTCTTTCAGCAACAAAAGGGTTTATTTGGTCCAAACGAAGCTCTTCTAAATCCTAAACCAAACACAGACCATTAATGCGTTGATAGTTATGGAGCCATCTCAGAAACTCTTTGGTAAGACCCTGCAGGAGGAAAAAAACAGCCATATCACAGAGCTGGAGTCCACAATTAAAAAATTCATTATCTCCTGCAACTGAAACACAGATTAAAAACTCAATCTAAGCTGTAGCTAAAACGTTATCAGCGCGAGAAATCAATTCAATGCTACAACTGCCATTAAGCCATATACATTTTTCAGGAATTTACTCAACTGTAAGGAACAAAGAGAGGCAAAAAATCAGTATGCATAAAGGCTGAAGCCATTTAAATGTTTCTATCTCCTTTGAGAGTAACTGCTACCAAAACCACTGGCTTGCTGCATTTTATTAACTGTGTTTAACTCATTAACATGCTTCCTATGGAATAATAGAGATTAGAAAAAAAACCCCGTGTCAGGATTTAACCAATTTAAACTCTCATAATTTCCAGTAATGGAATAAGCTACATGAGTAAATCCCCTCCTGAGATGACTACACCAGAAACACTTTATGAACTAATCCCAATGCAGATGCTATGGAACACGGTGTCTCTGCAGGCTGGAAGCGGGATCATGCTGCGTTGGGGTGTCACACATCCGGGGTGCAGAGCCCCTGTTCCACTGAGAGCATGATCCCTTCAGCGTGCCACAAACCACACTCTGCATGTGCCAAGTAGAGGTGGAAGTGGGTTTCAGCCACGAGCGCTCACACAACCCACAGACCCAGGAAGACGACGTAAACGAAGGATTATGCAGCAAGCGAAGCACAAGCAGCATCTTAGACGCGGTGCCCAGGCTCGACACTCCGGCTCACAATTCCCACCCCCCAGCCATCTGCTCGCTATTTATTACTTGCTTTGCAGCAGTACCTGCGAGCCCAT